ACATCATGAGACAAAATAAAAGGCCATGGCCTTTTAATATGGATTTTACAGAATTGCCTCTGAGGTGGCCTTCTATTTAGGGTGCCCTTCTAATATAGGGTGGCCTTCTATTTTGGGGGGGGGTTTAGAGTATTTGTTATTCTTTTTAGTATTTTGAATCCGATCACTTCAACTTCACCATTAACAACGACGGTAGCGGCTAATGATGACGACAGTAGTTTAGCTGCAACAATCTCATTGTCACCTACGTTACAAAAACGTGCACGCTCAAGTTCACGATTAAAAAATCAAAATGAAGTGTCAAAAGCAAAAGGTTATGCTACCATTATTATCCTTTTTGTTACGTGCGCTGCACTTATATTAGTTGGTATACTGATATCTTTTTATCGACGACATTTAAAAAATACTGATAATCGAGTTGGATATCATTTAACACGACGAAATGATGATCCTATTTATAATCCATTAACAACAACAGGGAATGATTTGAATTTTAACTGAACTAACAGAAAAAGCAGACGTTACATGTACCATCTTTAAGTACGAATAAAAAAAATCATGATTCGTTACACCAAAGAGGGCATAGAAGATAGAGCGTGAAAAAGTCTTCTTCATCTGGTACTGACTCTTTTGTATCTGTGTGAGAGAGAAAAAACAAGATGCATGATTTGATTGATGCTGTTATTTTGCTGGTTTATTATAATTTAATCAAACATTTTGCCTCTTCTGAAGTCTTCTACAAAGAAACACTTTCTTTACAGCTATCCTTCGAAGATGTCAATTTTGGAATTTTTACATATTAACCCAAAGTCTTCGGTTTTAATTGTACTCATTTTTTCTCTTCCTAAACACACGTTTAGAGATTTAGTAAGTATTCCGGGAGTCGTTTGAAAACAATAGGCAATTATAATTAATGATTATAATAACTTTTCAAGTATCAAAATGGCTAAGCAAATTCACAAAAATAAAGTGGGCTGATTAACGTTAACACCTTATGCATTTGATTTTTCAAAACATTAGAATGATGTTATAACACCGGATAATAGTGTACTGCAAGATAAACTCAAATTCAAAATAAAATTCCATTTTACAGATCAAGAAATATCGACTATCTAGGTCACATTACGCAGCTGTATTTTGAGTCAACGAGACCGAAACGGGTCAACCAAACATGACCCGAACCCTGCTCAGCCTGAACATGAGTTGACCCGAACCCGAACATACTCGAAGGGATCCGAAAATTCTGCTATTGTGATCCGAACTAGACTCAAAACATGAAAATGTTTTCGTACACATTCGCAAAGGAACACTTCTTTCCTATAGAAAGGTTATGTTAGTCAGATTTTTTCGAAATTTTTTCAGAAAAATGGCCAGATTTTCTACGGTTTCCGTCGTTTTTTCCTTTTATGAATGGAAAATGTTTTGGGTAATTCAGACGGTTTATTTTATGTTGACCTGAGTTAGATCGAAACGGGTCAACCAAACGTGATCCGAACCCGACCCGATCCGAATCAATAACTTTTACGTTGGCCCGAACCCGGCCCCGCCCGATCCATTTCGGTCTCTATCAACGACGCAATCAGAAAGGTTCCTAGTATATATGATGTGATTTCTTTTCTTCGGTCACTCCGAGTTACAAGTGTTACGTACGACGAAGAGAGGAGAAATTAAAATTATAATAAGGTGTAAGTTCATCGGTAACACGCAAGTGTTTTGTTTTGTAAGTGTATTAAACACAAGGAGAACTTGAAAGCTTCGTTTTTTTAAGAGAATCCTCTCGCAGAAAAAACTATCCTGTCTTCGTCTTGGGTAGAAAAATTCTTAGTCTTCTCTCAAAGTGTGCGTGTCCATATGGAAATGAAAGAAAAGACGAGAAAAATCATTAGATACATATAGTTAACAGTACTGTTTTCATTTTTATGTAACATTCTGTACGAAGAACAACTTGAAAATGACCATATTGATAGATCGAAACATCGAATTATAATTTTAATTGTTGATTTTAAGGACACGATGCAATGAGAACGAGAATCGACCCCATTTCAGATCTTCTCAAAAGGTGTCTAGAATGAAAAACATATGATTTTATGGGGTTCTAGACCCTTGGTTTCTCTTCGGACCCATATCTGTGAGAAAATCGATTAGCTTTGACCAATAGCTCCGCGAACCCATTCGATGTGTTTTTCGTACTTTTCTCAGAATGCAACAAATTTGAAGGAAAGTCTTATATACCATTCGATGCAGTTTTAAATGGCGAACAAAACTATCTATCGCTCAATTGTTATGTACACTGCGAACACCCCCGCTGTTAGCATATTACTGTTAAAAATGACCTTTTCAGCATAGTCCACGATAGTATTTCAACTTTTTCATTATGAAACAACCCAGGTTGCGGTCTACATTATATATCTATATTATGTATCATACTTCTAGGGATCATTTCTATAGTATGGTATCAACAAAACACCCATAGCCATAGAAGTCCATACCAAAAGAAAGTTCTTTCAAAACTACAAAATGGTGGGTAACTCATTTCTAGTTGGAAGTGTGGACACTAATCTTTTGGATATTACTTACTGATAATTTCAAGCATACTTGCGGATAATGTTTCGGTTCAGCACGTTTCTACGATGTTGGATGACCGAGTTACAGGCTGCTTAACATACGAATATAAACTAATTCGCTTTAATGCTGAATTTTCGATCTGTATCGTATTTTCTATGGCACTTTGATACAACATCGTAGAAACGTGTCCAACATCTCATTTTGTGAAGAATTGAAGGGGCTACCGAATGATATAGTTGAAAAACTTCTGAAAGAAATTTTAACGTCACTAAGTTTTCTAGAACACCAAGTTTTTCAGAAATCGCCAATACGTTGCATTTGATCGATAGGATATTTATTTAAACGTTTATTATTCTTTGTTAACAAAAGTTTGTTTAACAGTTTCACAAGGAATCGTCGATGAATGTAAGATAAATTTCTCAACAATACAAATCTTTTTATTTCTCTCTAAGAATCTGTCACTGTAATTTGACCTGATGGATATAGTAAAACGTCAGGCTCATCGCGTTCTTTCTCATTCGACTGATTTAGATTAACATCAGCATCGACAACTCTTTCTGTGTCATCTTCATAAGGAAAATAGTTTCTTATTCAGTCTTTCTATTCTTATTATATTCAGTCTTCTTATTCAGAGTCTTTTTCTTCACTTTTTTGAGACCAGAAAGTTGCCGGACGCTAGATGCCCCATTTTGATCCATGTTCGAGTGATACGACATCGCCCAAACGATGATAGATGGAGCATTGAGGTAGACTCTTGATTTCTTCAAACTAACTACATCCTGAATTAGTATAATTGGTGTTATTTATTGTGTCTGATATCAGTAGCTTTTCAGAAAATACCCCAACAAAACAATATGTCAATTAACCAAGATCTTCATACAGTAAAATAAAAAACTCTCACCACAAAGTTTCTCGCTTAAAGTTCTGAAGTCTGTGCTAACTGTCCTGTTTTTAACCATGAAGCAGTTAATTAACCAGATTAAATCTTATTCGCAATAAATACCGTTCTAGATCTTTGATTTTCGTTCTACCATGAAGAAATTTTTGATTATCAAACAGTATCATCATATTATTATCAAGTACTGGACGAAACACATTTAATTTATCCTCAGCCAAAATAATCAAATTTAGCTCCTTAACGGCTTCCTGTTTTTCAGCTGTTTCATTGGTTAATCGTTTTTTATCAACAAGATCCAGTCGATAACGTAGATGACCATCACCCAAAATAATTGATCCACAAATATAATCAATATCACCTTTTCGATAATCAGCCGGTACATTTATTTGATACGTTTCATGCCTCAATAAGTATTGACTTTTTTCCGACAATCTATTAAGAATGTCAGTAGCTTTAACCATTTGAACTTTACCTCCGTCTTCACTGCGATCACCCTGAACAACGTAGAGTGCAACAAATTTTGGTGCATCGGGTTCATATGAACAATCTGTATGAAAAACAAGTTCTCGATCTAATTGTGAAGCTTGCAGTTTTGATTCAGATGCATCCAGTTCTAAAACTTTCACAGGCCAGATAAAAGAATTTTCTTCATCATTGTACGGACAGCAAACACCACCAATTTTTTCAATTATATCTAGTACTGCTTTGTTACAGTCATTGTTTGGAATCTGTTCACATTTCACTTTCACATATCCATCCTTTTCCAATTGAGTTCGTACATCTTCCATCAGCGTATCATCAAAATTGGTGCAATTAAGCACAAAATAACTGTCTGTCTCCATTATTATTATGCAGTTGTCCCACAGACACAATTCGCTAGAGAAATATTAGACTTTTAAATTTTTGATAAAGGAAGAATTGATTTTTTCGTCAGCAAATCATTAACATATTGATTTGTATTCTCTGTATGCAAGCTAACTAAGCAAGGCCAACAACATTATATATGACAATATCACTGAGGAAATCGAAAAGTTATTGAGAGTCAGTTTGCATACCTACACCTGCGTAGATATCGTATTGTCCTAAATAGTCTATGTATAATGGAAAGATGAAGAGGCAAGCTCTACCAGTAACTTGTAGAGACCTCATACGATCGATATTCAGCCAATTCAACTGACGATCCGTGAAAAGTTCGATGAGTGGCGTCAGAAGTGACGGCACAGGCGAAACGTGTTTTTTGACTTGGATAAACTATCCACATATAGTATACGCGCAGAAAACATATAACTCATAAAAGAAACTTCGTGATATCCTGTCAACTGACTCTTGCATAGATATTGTAAGTCAAAAGCAAGTGCTTTTGATAACATAATACTCGACCAATCTGTACTGTCACAGGTAAAAAACGATTGCGTGCCTAATGTCAAAATTAACGGCCTAGCGTGTTATCTTTCGCTCTAGGAGGGTTATTCTTATTTTTTAGTTATCCACAGAGGATTTTAGTAAGCGTTCATATGAAATACTCTTTTAATTTTTCGAAACTAAATAATAAAGACCTTCGGTTGATACAACATTGAACAGACGAGACTTGTTTTCTACTGGTGCCGTTCGACAGTGGGCATTCTTCCATACAGCAGGCGGTTGCGCTACTTTGCACTAATATCATAGATAAAGATGGTCATAAACCCCCTTTCGGAAAAAGATGAAGATTCTACGAGCTGAGGAACCTTAGGGAAACTCGTTGTACTGAGTACACGTTTTGGAAAAGCAGTATTTATGGAAAAACGTTAAAACGTGTTCTTAGACGGTAGCTAAACTCGAATCTACAGGCAGAAAATTGGTTTTTTTCAGGCAGTTAGCGAATTGTAGCGAGATTTTTCCATCTAACCTTTTTTCATAAGAAAACTGCTTCGAACAGCAAGTTTCTGCATTACACCAGTCATTAGTTGAAGTTTATAGGAGAATCTTCAAATGAAGAAAAATTAAACTTCGCGATTTTGACCAAATGTCCGTCTGGATACCCACTGTCCGCTCTTAA